TTCTAAAAATATATTTTTATCTATTTTTTTGATGTTGAGATAAAAAGATTTATTTCTTTTTTTATGTATACCATGATGTGTAAAAGGTTTCCAAGGTTTTGTATAAAAGTTTCCTTTATAAGATTTGAGATTGGATAATATAATTTTATTTATATGAATGATATTTTCATTATCTACTTCAACATTTTTTTTATATCTATCTAATATTATTTTTAAAGAATTTTTAAGAGAGATATTAGAGAAAAAATATAATGGTTTTAATTTGAAATTTTTTTTTCTTCTTTCGAGGAATGTAATAGAGACATGATTATTTAAAATATTTGGACTAATTTTAGAGTCATTTATTATTTTTAATTTTGATTGTAATAGATCGAGATCTTTATTGAATTTATCTTTATCGTTTATGAAAAATTTATTAATTTTTTTTAATGATTCTATGTTTTTTTTAATTTTATCTTGATCTTTTTCGTTTTTGATTTCTGAAATAGATTTTTCAATTAATTCATTTCCTTTCTGTTTGATAACATCATTTAATTCTTTAATGTTCCAAGGTCCTAATCTTGTATTATTTTGTATTTGATTATATAATAAACTTTTTGGTTGCAATTCAACGATTTTAGTTTTTTCATTGATTTTTTTATTGTAATAAGATAATATATCTTTACAATCGATTAAAAAATTCATTTGTTATTTTTTTTCTATATATGATTCTATTTATAATTAAATTTTGAATTACGCAGCAGGTGAAGCACTGCTGTTAGGATCAAACGGAATATCAAATTCTTTATCAGGATTTTCTATAGCATGCTTTACAGCATCTACTAATTGTTTCAATGCAGATCCACTTGCGTGTTTGAGGTTTGCTACACTATCTATGTTGGTTTCGTAAGCTATCATTGGTATAATTTTATTAATCAGGAGAAAAGGTCCAGGATGTGTTGGAAATAAAGGTTCCTTTCCAAAGAATGTTATATCAGTATTATATTCTATGTTTGGTATTTTCAAGCTATTTTCAATGTTTTTTTTCATTATATCTGAGTCTAATGTCATAGTTAAAACCCATATGATATTTGGTTGGTATCCGACAATATTAGTTTGTTGTCCTTTACTATCAGTTATAGTTTCTTTATCACAACAGTAAATTATCAAATTTTTTTCTTCATCTACTCTTTTTACACCATATGGCATTCCTTGTGATTCATTTTTTTGTCCTTTGTTCGTATGTGTGTAATAAAGTTGTGTGTTGAAATCATACCATTGTGGTTTATTCATTTGGGTATTTTTTGATAATTCATTTACATTAACAGGTGTATCAACAGCAAACATAAATTCCCATTTATCTTCATTTATGCGTGATTTTATATTATCATCAGTATTATCAAATCTAAATGTTCCTTTTTTGAAAATATCTTCTAATTCAATTTGTTCTTTCATGAAAGGAAAATTTTTCTCATTTTCTTTTTCATTAGCGTCTCCAGTTTTTTTTCCGTTTAGAAAAGACAATGTTATTATGAAATTACCAGGTGGTTCGTATATTTTTTTAGTATTTTCAGAATCAATAATTACACCTTCTTTACCAGCATTTAATATTATACTCATATTTACTTGATTGAAAAATCCATGTAATCTCAATTTAAATGCTTTAGGAAAATCTTTAGTAAAACTTTGACCAAATCTATTTACTGCGATTAATGAATTTGTAACAATATTTTTATCTTTGTAAGAAGTTTTATCATATTTTATTTCACTATTATCAAATTTTACATTAGTTGCTTCTTCTTCATCTGTGTCAAAAAAACCAAAAGGGTCTACATATGAAGCATCAGGAAAGAAAATAGAAGCGATATTATCTAATAATATTTTTTCAGGTGGTTTTGGTTTACTATCTTCAGTAGTTTCTTCAAGATCACAAATAATATCACATGGTAATTAGAAATACTCATTGGAGTTGATTTATTACTAGCATTTTTTAGATTTTGATATGTTGTAAAATCATCAAGATTTTTACCGAAAAAGGTAAAAAAAACATAGAATCATTAAAAAAAATTAATAAATTTTTCATAAACGATAAAGATAAATTCGATAAAGATCTCGATCTATTACAATCAAAATTAAAAATAATAAATGACTCTAATATCAATCCGAATATCTTAAATAATCATGTCTCTATTACTTTTCTCGAAAGAAGAAAAAAACATTTCAAATTGAAACCATTATATTTTTTCTCTAGTATCTCTCTTAAAAATTCTATAAAAATAATATTAAATAGATATAAAAAAAATGTTGAAGTAGATAATGAAAGTATCATTCGTATAAATAAAATTATATCATCCAATCTCAAATCTTACAAAGAAAGTTTTTATACCAAACCTTGGAAACCTTTTACATATCATGGTATACATAAAAAAAGAAATAAATCTTTTTATCTCAACATCAAAAAAATAGATAAAAATATATTTTTAGAAATAGTAGATTTATTATTATCTGTTATAAGAAATGATGATATTTCTTGTTTTAATTTGTTACATTTAAAAATCGGTCAAATTTTTAATAATTTATCTATTTAAATGTATAAATATAACTCTTTAACTTTAAATCAATGAATAAAATGCATTTCTATTTTTTATTTTTAATATTGATACAAAATATTTATTCCCAAACTTATACATGTGTTTTATATAACACAAATGAAAACATTCTTCAATGCGTAAAATTAAATCCTTATAATTACGTACAAAATCAAATCAATACATTAGATATTCCAAATAATATTAACAATATTGAATATTTTTACAAAATCGTGAATAATCCAAATGAAAATAATAATGGATATCAAAATCTTAATAATCATGTTAATAATTTTTACGAAGAATATTGAATCAATATGTCATAAATGTGTAAATTATGATAATCACAATCAAATTATTAATGAATACAAAACAGGAAATATCTCAACTTGTCATTATCCTGAAACTAAAAATGTTTTTGATGGACTCTTTAATATCATTTGGGATGAATATCTTATAAAATACAATCTTATGAAATCACCAATTTATATTAACAGAATCAATAATTACGGTGATTACATAGACAGACAAAATAAAAAAAATATAATTTACACAGAAAAAATAACATTTGATAATTTTAAATTTTTATTGGAAAATGATCAAAAAAATATCTTGAATTATTGTGAAGGAGGAAAATACGAAAAAATAATCAATGATAATAAAATACTCAAACAAAATAATCTTGAATTACATACATTACGAAAAAATATATGTAAAAAAATGAGAATTGGAATACGTAATAAAGAATCTTTTTTCATTGATTTTATAAATGATAATAAAATTTCAGATTATTTAATGTATAAAGGATTTGTTTACAATTCTTTAAGAGATGAAAGTATATCGGATGAATTTTACAAAGATAAAATTATCGAATTAGAAAAAAAATGTCTAAAAAGTTTAGAAGAATTACCAAATGTAGACTGGTTTAAATGGTGGAGACATTTATTAAATAATCCTGATAATTTAAATATCATTGATAGTTATTGGATATTTAAAAAAGTCAAAAAATTGAATCCAAAAACAAATGACAAAAATTTTTACAAATTAGTAGCTTCCACATTTATTAAGAACCTAAAAAGATGCAATCAAGAACGTGAAAATATATGCGTACCTGAAATACTTCAAATGATAGATTCTGAAATCAACTGTGAATCATTAACTACAAAAGGATTGTACAATTCATTATTGAGAAATGAAAATTTCAACAATATAGTTGACCTTAACATAAATGAAATAAATGAAATACATTACCATATCGCGAAACAAAAAAAACAACTGGAAGATTATTGCTTAACTGAATTCATCATTGATGATTTTTTAACAAATGATAGATTTGAAAACTTTTTTAAACAGGGAATATACAAACCATTTTTTTGGGATTCATTACCATTATCAGATGTTAATAAAAAAATCATTAAAAACAAATGGATGAAAAATACAAATAGATTAATAAATCTAGAAGAAAAAACAAATATGAATGAATACATCAACAGATTGTTAACCATATCTCAATCTTTAAAAAACGATCAATTATACTTTCCAGATTCTCCTAATATATTCTCTGAAAATTTAAAACACGAAAAAGATATATGTAAAAATTACATTAATGATGATGGTCCCATTAAAAAATTAATTGAATTATCAAATATATCAAAACACGCTAAAGAAAAATTTGAAAACCGAAGATTGGAAATATTACATGGTAAACCTATCGAAGTTGAAGCAAAACCTGAAATACCTAAACCTAAACCACCACTAAAACAACCTGAAAAACCTGATGATTCTGAAGATATTTTATTCAACAAACTAAAAAAAGAAATAGAAGATACCGATAAAAATAATGCAGAAAAATTAACAGAATATGATGATATGGAAGAAAAAATAAACGATTCAAAATTATCACTTGATAAAATCGAAAAATTACATAATCTAAGAAAAAACAAATTAACCAATCTCATAAATGATAGAATCAAAAAATTTGAAAATAAAATTAGAATCTCAAAAACTGAAAATGAATTAGATAATATATTTAATGAATTATTTAATGATAAAATATTACCACCTGAAGAAAAAGCTAATATCTCAAAATTATATCAAGAAAAATTAACATCAATTAAAGAATCTGACAAATACAATGAATACATTAATGATATCAATAATTCATATACAGAAGATGAATTAAATCTTTTGATAAATAGATTATCTCAAGATCAAATATTGACACCTATACAAAAAGATGAAATTAAGAAAAATATAGATGATAAAATAGATGAAATCAAGAAAACTGCACTTCAACCTGATCCTAACGAAAATATTCTTGTTGATGAATTAGAAAAAGATATAGAAAATATTGATAAAAACAATGTAGAAAAATTACTTGATGATAAAGATTTAGATAAAAAAATCAAAAATTCAAAATTATCACCTCCCAATAACAAAAAAATACAAGAATTAAGAAAAAATAAACTATTAGAATTCAGAAATAAAATCAATGATGAATACATTAACAATATCAAAACAGAGAAGAATGAAAATATATTAGCAGATATGAATAATGATTTAACAAAAAATAAAATTCTAACAGATAAACAGATTGATAACATATCTTCATTAATATTAGAAAAAATAACTAAAATAAATGAAAACAATGAAATATATGATGAAATCAAAACAGATATTGATGGATTCTTAACTCCTGAAAATTTAGATGATTTTATTAAAGAAAACATTGATTCTTTTAATGAAGAATATCTATCTAACAATAGAGACAAATCATCATTAAATAAATATTATGCTGAAATACGAGAAAAATTAATCAAAGAAATCACAGAAAAAGAAAATAACTTTTATTTAGAAATAATGACAGCTATAGGAGATTGTAAAGACTCGAATCTACTAACAGCAGAATTTTACAATAATATCTATCGTAACATCGAAGAATTAAATGAAAATTATCTTGATAAAACAAATAGTAAAGCATTCTTACATGAAATGAGAGAAGATAGAAGAAAACAATTAGAACTTGAACAAGAAAATATATAAATATCTTGTTTATCTTATATTATTCATAAATAAAAATAATGTATAAAAAAAGTGAATAGAAAAAATTCTTTAATGAAAAAAATATTCCTAAAACTGATGAAAGTAAATAGTTTTTTTCTGGTCTCAATATTAACCAATGTAAAATCGCAATAGAAAACGGATGGAATAATTATCAAATAATAAATAAATGTGTAAAATATCGTGAATTTAAAAAAATTAATGTCTTAGAAGTTAAGAAATCCGAATTAGATTCATTATTGGATATACTCGAAGATATTCTCAATGATGATAAAACCACATTCAAATCATTACCTGAAAATTATGAAAAAGATAAAATAGATAATTTAAATGATAATTTTTTACCACGTAGTGCAAAAAAAAATGATCTTTTAAAAGCAATATAAGATAGAAGAAATACTTTTAGATACAGAATCAATGAACCAAATAA